GCCCTCTCTCTTGTACTCTGCTCAATCATTGCAGTTTTCCTCAGACAATGCATGTGCCTTTCCTCTTCAAGTTTCTGGTATTTCCTCTGAACCTTCCGCTTTACACTCATAGCTTCACACACTGTCCTCTCAGGGGTACACTTCCTGGCCTCCCAGGTCTTCTGAAATTTTTGTGGAAGCCCTTTTAACCTCAAAACTCTTGCATGCTGCATATACCTAAAATCAGTACCCAGGATGATGCCAAGATCCACTGCCAGCTGGATCAGTAGCCAAGCTTCTGTCTATCTTGGCTGTAAGGGTCAAGAGACTATATTACTGAGCCCTCTGAACCTGATTCTGAGGAACAAATTCTCATGGCGCTGCCATTGTGGAACGTGGTGCAGCCTCTGCCACCATTCTGGAACATATTGCTCCGTGGCTGTCTCCTCAAAGCAAAATCTTTCACTTTTGCAGTTTTGAGGATTCAAAGGGTGGAGACTTGCTGCTTCTTATATTTTCCTATTCCTTCTCAACAACTGAGCTCTCCTGGGGCTGGGGAAATAGCTCAGTGGCATAAGTGCCTGCCTGGCAAGCACAAGGTCCTGAGTTCAATCCCCCTACCACAAAAGGAAAAAAAATTAAAAATAAAAAAGATAAAGAGATCTCCTTAGCTCTATTATTGTAGTCTACAGCTTTACTAGATCTTCCTTCTTGCCAAACTCACAACAATTTTAAATCAGCCTGACAGGCTCTTGCTCTTGATTCTCAACAAAAATCTGGCTAAAAGCCCCAACAATAGACATGCCACTACCTCAATATTAGACTGCCTCAAAATTTCTTTTGTCAGATTAATTAGTCTTCCACCCTTAATCTCAGTCTCAGCAAAAGTCTCTGGACATGAGCAAAATGCAGACAAACCTTCTGCCAAGCCGTAACACACATCATCTGGAGTCCAACATCCAATGGAGTCCTTCTTCCTGGAAGAAACCTCCTGAGCCTATTTTTTACAGGAGGATCTCTATCAACACTCTAGTCTTTTGAGTTCTGAACAGAATCCCCCATACAGCGTGAGTCATTGCAAGTTTACTCTTTCGGGGGACATCTCTGTACCTTTCCAATGTATTTCTACAAGCCCTTCCCAAAGGCTCCTGAACTACACGGTCAGATACAGTCACAGAAATGACCCCACTTTGGTAATTTTCTGGTACCAAATTCTATCTTAATTACTTTTTCTTGTTGTTGGGAGAATATACTGGATACCCATAATTAAGGAAGGAAAGATTTTTTTTTAGCTCACAATTTGGGGAGGCTTCAGTACTTATGCAGCAGGCTCCAAGGCAGAGTGGTACATAGCAGAGGCAACAGTGCCTGGAAGTGGAGAACAGCAAAACAGCAACAAGAGCAAAAAAGGAGAGCAGCCAGTGAGCCTCTTTCCCTCCCTTATATTGTATGCAGGCCACCGTCCCAGGAGGGCTGGATGTGGCACTCACACCCATAATCCCAGCATTGGACCATGACTTAATCACAAATTCTAGAAGCTGCCCCCCTGACTACATGAGGCTTTGGGGGGACACCAGGGCACAAATCACAAAAGCCTTAAAAAAATAGAAGAGCCCCATTTTTCTGAGGTTTTTTTTCCTGTTACCCACACCTTTATAGATCTTGGAAATGGCACACAAAAGAACCAAAACCATTCTGAAGGGCACTAAGAATGTGATCAGCTGGCTGTAGAACTCAGGACCAGAATAAAAGCACAGAAGCAGGGCAACTTGAACATGTATGCGAGTGTGTGTACATGTGCACGCACGCACGCACACACACACACACACACACACACACACACACATTCAGCTGTCAACAGAAGGTATCCTGGTAGTTCAACGTGGATCTAGTGGAGTCCATCCAGCAACCTCATGTAAGGGGCCAGTTGTTGGGAGTCCTGCCAAATATAAGCAACTAGGGGAAGACTCCTTTCCTGGGCCAGCAATTCCTCTTCTGAGGACAGATACTAAGGTGAGCAAGAGGAACTAGGAAGAGAGACTAAGGTAAAGCAGGTGACTTAACTGAGGAGGCTCATTGTCTCCATAAGCCTGAGACTCTGTTCCCCTACACAGAGTCAGTAGGGCTAACTGGTGGGATCAAGGAAAGGGGAAATCTGTCACAGCAAGTAGCCCTGCAGCTAGCAGTGTGGTTCTGAAAGCCATTATATGGAACAAAGACTCTACTCCCTGGACCAGAGAAACCTCAGCGATTGGGGGGCAGAGCAGGAGCATTACCCCTTCAGAAAAAGATATGACTACTGAAACAGAAGAAATTCTTCCCATCCTCTCAGGAAGCACCAACAGAGACCACTGGGAGCCCAAGCAGCACAAGATAAGCTAAACAGAACAGAATAACACTGTAAGGACTTTCCAAGTTAAACTGCTACCAGAGTTTGCCTGTATGCTAAACCCAAACAGAATGATTCCCTGTAAAACACTTAAATATGACAAAGAATCTCCTAACATAACAAAAATACCCAAAATATAAGCCAAAACCCTAGAAAATCATGACATTAAAGAAAATAAAAAATCCACTAATGCCAACACTGAGACGAATGTGATGTTGGAATTATCAAGAATTTTAAATTAAACATCATAAAAATACTACAGAAATCAATTACAAATTCTCTTGAAACAAATGAAAAATAGTAA